GAACTGGTCCGTAGTAGTGTTGAACTTTGTTCTTGATGCACTTGAGAATTGAATGCTCGATCTGTGAACGGTTGGAGTGCTTGAATGCTCAAGTTGATTCTCAAGTGTTCAAGTAGTGTTTCGTTGTAATACACTAGTTAATACAACTTGGATGACATCACTTGAATGATGTAATCACTTGGTTGGTCAAAGGACAAGTGACTGCAGAACTGTGCTGCCCTGTTTCTGTGTACAGTGCAGGCAGTCACTTTCCAGCTGTACACAGTTGACTTCGTACTGTTGTCAGGGAAACACAAGGGTATCAGGTCCCTGTGTTGATTCTCTATCTTCTGAAATTATAGCAGTTCACATTAGCTGGAGTCCGTTGATTTGCGATGTGTACCAAATGTGTCAGGTTCCTTATCTAGTTCTTTGACAGTAAGTTTGTTAGATCATCAAAACATAAAGCTAAGACATTGGAAACCCATTATAAGCCTTTTGTTACATTATGTTTTAACGTTTCATATTTCACGTGTATTTGCAAGTTTGTGTTTACATATATATGTAAGGAAAATGGAATCTTAGGAAAGAAGAAAATGACATCTCGATAACTTGAAAATTATTAGTATAAGAAAAGAAGAAGGAGCTCTTCCTTTTCAAGACTACTAGTCTTATGATACGCGCGTTACGCGTGTACCCTATCTCAATAAATATATATTTTCTTAAAATATTATATACATATTATATTATAAATTGTGTTTCACAAAAATTTCAAACTTGAAAAGGTAGATGAAAATCAAAAACTTATATATATGAAAGAAATATTTTTCCTTATTTGCGCATTAATTTTCCAAATTTTCATTTATTTGAGTGTGACTCAGCCACTAAATACCAAACCACATCAAAAAAAAACAAACGAAAAATATAAGCAAACAAAAATAGAAGAGACAAAAGTATTCAAGAAAAACTAAGTCACATTAGAAAAATATATCTCCTGTTAACAAATAGAAAGACGTAATTTAAGAGCACACCGAAGGATCAAAGAAAATAAGTTTTTAATAACACCAGGAATACCAAACAAATGCTATTGAGTTTATTAAGTAAACTACTTGTAGATATGACATCTTGATACTTGGGGAGAGATCAATGTAGCTTGCTCATTGCAAAAATTCTGAGGTATGGCCATAATACTTTATATCGTGGTATGCGGTGAATTCAAGTATGAAATTATAAGAGGAAAATAAAACTTACAAATATTAAAATAAGAGAATAAATTATTGAAATCAAAACGGGTTCATTCATCAGGATAAAACCTCTAAAGTCGACGTGCTTCTCTGAATCTTTCCGATTACCAAGTACTTAGCTAAACATAATTCAAATTGTAATGTCCACAATTGAACGAGATGGCTGCAAAAGAAGCATGAAGAAGCTTTATATGTTCTTGTAAAAGTTAATAGAGTAGAAAAATACACGAACAAAAATTAGAATCCTCCTTTTAAAATTTATTCATTACGAGATTCTCTTTGAGAAAATAATACTTTATATAGTTCCTTTACACAATTCAAATAAGGAAGCAAAATATAATTAAAATCTTACTCCATTTAAATTTCTAAATATGAGGAGTTCTTGCAAGAGTCAAATAAGTAAAAAGTTAATAACCAAACTTTTAGCTGATTTAAAAGTTCTAAATATTTAAACATTCACAAAAGAAAAAAGAAAAATGCTTTGAAAAATAAAATTTACGTTTGTCAAAGAAATAAATTATAATAAATTGCTTTAAACTGCTCGTAAACCAAGTTCCTAAGCTAAATATTCAATAGTATTGTTCTATAACATATAAAAGGTTATTAGCTTTGCTTGATGGTCTTGGAGGTAATTGTAAATGCATAATGCACTTCAAAGCATCTAAGATTTGCATTTTAAAGTTTCTTTATCATATTTATGTTTTGCGCTAACTACTCTTCAAATATACACTTCAAATATACACAACATTAAGGGTCTTAGGAAAAAAAAAATTTATGTGGTAAACCCTTAATTTAAATAAAAATTGATTCACAAGTCTATAGTGACAATCATATCTCAAATTAATGTTGTACGTCCATACGCACAACGAAAAGAGTTCAAATATAATTAAAGAAAAATAATTCTAGTTAAAATAAGGAAAGATTTAATAAGTACTAAAATTTTAGTTGATTTCAAAGTACTAAAAATTTTAGGAAAATAATTAAATGATAACATTACAAACTCAAAGTGCTAATTATTAGGAAAATAATTAAATGCATATTCCTACATATTAGAAAATTAATTAAATTACTACTTTATCTAATGTGAACTGCACTTTTGAAGGGTAAAAAAGGCGAACGACATTTCGCTAAGAGTCTTCGTGCTTTTAGTATAGTATAGATTTGCTTACAAGTTCAACTAACTCATTTATCAAATACTTGCAATCTATATTGAAACAACCCTAAGGGTAGCTCAACTGGTAAAGGCCTGAGGACAAAGTCCTTCAGGTCGCCAGGTCGGGTTCGCAAAGCGATGCCCGGAAACCACGATTAAAAAAAAAATATTGAAACTAACGAGAGGTCAATCGCTTTTGAAATCCTAAAAAAAATCATAAATTTTGCCAGCTAATGATGAGATGTCCATTCGTGTCTTCTTTCACTCACCCCGTCAACAAAAAAGAAGAAATGAAAAAATATAGTACTATCAAGTATGATGCAGATTTGAGTCAGTAACCTTAATTCTAAATTCCTATGGCACATAAGAAAATTGTTACTCCATGGAAGTGGTAACCAAATAAGAGTCCTAGTTATAAACACTGCAATAAATGTTTTTTTTATAACATTAGTGTCTGAATTAATTTTGTGTATTTGAGTCTTTCAATAATTTTGTCTATCAAGATTGAGACAGATAAGAATACTTATTTTCTTTATCTTTCTTTTCAGTGGTATCTTGAAATGGAAAAAAGGGGAAAGTCTAATAAAAATGCATGTGAATTTTGTGGGTTTTCATCGATTTTTATGTAGTGCGCGTACCTTTTTTCTTAAAGTGAGAAAGTAAGACATGCATAATTGGAGACCAAAATGATACTCACACATGTATATACCTCTACGGACATTTCTACTTAAAGAGTTCTTAAGGGGTTAGAAACTCTATTAACATGTCACTATTTTATAACTTGACTATTTTATTGAGACCGAAAAAAAAAGACTAGTGATCGACTTTCAAGTAAAAAGATGATGATAATTGATGATATATTCTTACACATAATTAACAAAGCAATCGAATCGTAATGTCTGAATAAACTCATTAGGCTAATTCGTCAAGGACCGAAGAATGGTAGTATTAGTCAATTTTTGAAACCAATGATTTGAATTGCAATAAGCAAAAAGAAACCTAGTATATTCCAATTTCTATTTTCATTTTCTTCATATTCTTTATCGCAGGAAATGAGGAAACGAAAAATTAATTATCTATCTATATATAATAGGAGAAGCAGAACCACTATATTAAGAAAAGTGTCTTAACCACAAAAGGCCAAGTGGCATTGTTAAGACAAAATAAACTACTTTTCTAACTAACTTTTAATTGAATTTTAAAATTTTAATTGATTGGTTACACTACTTGAATTAATAAATATAGATATCTCATAATTATCAATAAAAAACGAAAATACAAAAAAATATTCTACTCATTCAAATTGGAGTTTTAAAATTATTTTACAATAAAAAACAAAAAATAAAACTGCTTATTTAAATTGGAGAGTAATGTCTTCCTAATATAGTTGTAGTAGTGTGTGTATTATATATGAGAGTAGTTATTATACTAAATTGGTTTTTTATTAATAATATATATATATATATAATATATATATATATATATATATATATATATATATATATGTATGTTTATTTAACAATATTAAGTAATGGATAATACAATTAGATAACCAAGGAACAAATATATATAATACTTATAAAAATAATTATAATTATTATGAGAAAAGTCTTACGTATACACACAACTAAAATTGTAATAAACAATTAGGCATAAATGAAGAATACTAAAAAAATAAATAAATCAAATGATATCGTAAAAATACATATACAAAATAAATTTCTCATGTAGGAAAATTTAGTTAATAAAATGAACTCATAATTTCATAATGAATTATGGGAGTAGTTATTATACAAAATTGGTTAATTTATTAATAATTCACATGTCAATTGAACAATAATAAGTAATGGATGGATATATATATATATATATATATATATATATATATATATATAGTCAATTATATTATATAAAGAAAGTAGTAGACAAAAATATTAAACAAACTAATATGCTAATAAGAACTTCTATTAACAATGTAATTATACTAAATATTGGATAATATAATAAAGAAAAATACATAACAAAAAAGTTATTCAATGACTATATGATCTGGAGCAACTCGTCTTGACTTTTATTATTTTAGGATGCGAGGAAAGGGAAAGAATGTGTTAAGCAAGAAGATAAGTCTCTTTAATTTAATAGATATTTTATTCATCAAAATTCAGATAATATTATCGAGAACAATAGAATAAATTTAAATTAATTTTTTTAAGATTAATAAAATATTTATCTTCTCTCATATTACAAAAAAAAGCGATCTGACAAAAACATAAAACAAAGTAATATGCTAATAAATATTTTTATTAAGAATGTATAATTACTAAATATTGGATAATATAATAAAGAAAATATAAAATAAAAAAGTCCTTCAATAACTATATAAGTCCTTTTGGTTTAATAGAAATTTTATATTAGGTATATCATATTGACAAATAAGATAATAGTTTAAATTTATTAAAGTAATACGATCTAATATGTTCAAACAAGTATTTAAGTTAACTAATATTATTTAATAAAATCGCGCGGGAGAAAAAGAAAAAACGTTTCAAACTTGACTGCGGGCCGTAACCAGAAAACTGGGCCCACTTAAAGCCAGCTGTACATCTCTCTCTCTCTTCACCTCCTTGGCTCCTTCTCTCTCTGAACTTTTCCATTTCATTTGCAGAGAGAGATAGAGAGAAAAAGTAAGAGAAAATTATCCCTTCTCTTCCAATAATAAACAAATAAATCCAATTACAAAATTCACAAAACAAAAGTTGTACGAAGGAATTTTCTCTGTTTGTTTTTTCTCTTTCTCTGTCCAAAACCTTAAAACTCATGGCGGTATGATTCTCTATACTCTCTCTATATTTTCCTGAATATATGCTTATAAATGTGAAATCTTCATGTTTATTCTTTTTATTTTATGGTAAAAGAAACCTTTTCTGAATTTCGATTGTTAGCTATATTTTGTTTGATTTTTGCCTGTCCTTTTTTTGGGTCTTTGTAGAAAACAGAAATGATAAAAAAAGGAACAAGGATTCTGGGTTTTTTTCTTTTTCCAGTTACAATATTAATTTCTCTATCTAATTAATTTTTTCAAAAAATGTTTATTTTTTAAAATTACGTAAAACACTTCAAACTCATGGCGCTATGATTTTCAGTTTTCTCTATATTAACATAGATATATGCTTATGTAGTTATGTATATGAATTCTTCATGTTTTATTGTTCATATTTTGTGGTAAAATTTGCCATTCTTGAGCTTAGATTGTTTGCTAGTGATATTGTTTTTCACCATATGAAAAAATAAAAATATTACTAATAGTATTTTACACCATAAAATGTTGATATTTGCCTGTTCTTTTTTGGTCTCTCTATATTAACATGAATATATACTTATGTATGTCAATCTTCCTGCTTGATTGCTGTTATTTTATGGTAAAAGTAGCTTTTTCACCGTGAACTGGTGATACTTTGCTCTGTTCTTCTTTTTGGGTCTCTGTAGATAGGAAGAACTAAAGAAAGCTTGTGGTTTTTTTTTTCTTAATTATATATTACTGTTTATTAGTTTGATTGTTCTTTAATGTAAAAGTAGCCTTTTTGAGCTTTTTATTAGCTAATCATCATGAGTCATGACTCTTCACCATAGTTGTTGATTATTTTTAGCTGGACTGCTGTACGGAAAAAGAAAATGAGAAGGCTTCTGAAATTTTTTTCTCCTTTTACAAATTATACTGGAGTAGAAGTGGCTTTTCTTATTTTCTTTTGAAATACTTTAAAGTGTTATGCGTTTAGAAATTAAATAAGGGTACAAAAATCATCTTTTGCTATAATAAAATATTATTTCAAAGAAAGAAATTCTTGAGTCCTAAATAGTAATAGTGTCATGTAAATGCAATAGAGTGACTAATTATATCTTTCCAAGACAAAGCTCTACGTATTTTAAGAGATTTATGAAATTTTGGGTTTATCTGTATTTTCTTTTCAAGTTTTTCTAATTTTATGCTCTATGGATCATGAGGAACAAGGTAGGCAATTTTAAAGGTGATTCTATTGGATTTTTTTTTATTGCCCCTGGATCTTTTTTTTTTCTTTTAAATAAATTGAAATTGAAAATTATTCTTTTACTGAAATATTCAAAGTCATTAATGAAGTTTTCTCTTGGGTTTTCCATGTTAATTCTGTTAACATATATATAGGTACAGAAAGTTATATATGCTATGTTCTTGAACTTGGCCTATGTGAAACTTGTATTACTGCTATATATATGTATAAAATAAATATGCTTTCCAATGAAGACCTTACAGGCATTTGTAAGTCTCAGGATTGAAGAAGAACAGCTTCTACTTCTCTTCTGAGAGATGATACTAGAAGTTGAAAATATATAAACTATCTGTTGATGTAATTATTTCTAATTAAGAGAAGTTGTACTGGCAAATATGGTAAAGCCTCCTCATTGGAAGCCCAAACTAAGCCCTGAACTTCTAGTACTAACCTAGTTCCTTCAGGAATCCGGTAAAACTGGAGCTTCCACTTCTTACCTAAAGTCTTTCACTTTCCTTACCTCATATAATTAATTTCCATTTTTACGCCAATAAGGGTAGGCTGTCCGGTCAGATATAGCTTTTAAGTAAAATATTCAGATATTCATGCAGTACTATACTATTCTAGCATCAAAGTCATTCTACAGTCTATATTTCTGTGCGATAAGAGAGTAACAGCAATAAGTATTCAGTATTTTATAATTTTAGCACATAGGAACAAATAAGAGCAAAGATCCATGAGTTCCTATTCTCTTTTTGTTTCAACCTTTTTTGTCAGGGATGAGGGGGGTTATTGTTGACAGATTCATGAGATAAATGGATCCTTTTCCTGCTCCTGGCATGTGCTTGTGCAGTCACATGAGCACTTCTTTTCCATGTATTGGTTTGATACTTCACCGGACTTCTTTGGCTATGCTAAAACAATTGCATGGTGCTAATCCATTGGTTGATGGCTTGATGTTAATGTGATATGTGTCTGTAGGCCTCTTATCTAGGAATTCTGCTTAGCAAAAGATAATTAATCTACCATTACTAACATTTCTGCATAAGTAAATTGTTCTGCAGCCTTTTCTATTTTAACGTAGGTCGTAGAATTGCAACTCTGATAGTTAATCTTTTGATGTCTATAGGATAAAGGTCGTCCACTTCCAAAATTTGGAGAGTGGGATGTCAATGACCCAGCTTCTGCTGAGGGTTTCACAGTCATCTTTAACAAAGCTCGAAATGAGAAGAGAAGCGGAGGCAATACAAACTCACCACCAAAGGGTGACCCTGCATATAATAAGCATGGAGCAACTCTTGGAAAGCCTCAATCAGTAAGTTGTGGGCCTCTTCTATAAGTCTTTGGCTAGCAGTGTGTACTATACATGCATTTCTTTAGTACTTTTTCATTCCTTGACTTTGATGGTTGAGGAAATTGTTTCACAAAGTTTGTACGAACGTTAATATGTTGTTCTATTAGATTATCTTTGGAAAACATGATGTTCTAAATCTAATTGTATGTTGTGCTTAAATCATTTCCCTTGTAAAGTATGTGCATAAATCAACACCAATTATCATTTTCTTAAACAAGAAAGATAAACATTTCTTAGGGTTCTTTGCATTTTGAACCGCTAATCTGTGCATTATTTGCTTAATAAAATTTGCACTCTCCTTTGTTTGCTCATGATTTGTCTCATAATGTGTGCATTGTTTTTGAAATTTGCATCATGTCTTTTTGTTTTTTCAGATTTCCATCTTTATCTATCCTTTTTTGATTTGCACCTTATTCTTTGAAAAATCATAAAACAAATCATTTGTGAAAGGGCAGGACAGAAATAATATATTTCAAGGCCAGCATATTCCTTCTAGGAGGAATTGCTCGAGTACTTTCTAGCCTTACGAGTTTGTCTTTTAGTGTTATTTTTGCTAATTTTATTTCTTCATTCAGCCGACCTATTATATCATTTATGTAAATTAAATATATGTTTTTCATGTCTTTTATGTTGATCAGAATTGATTCCTTTAGTTACGGTGTCTAGGACTCTATCCATTTGTTAGTTTTATAATTTTTCAAGCCATTTTTTGGCTAGTTTCATTCAATTGTATCCAGTTCCATATATTCTTCTTATGGCAAGTCAACAAAGTGTAACTTTTGCAAAGGTAAGGCAGTATTGTGAAACAAGCCAAAAAAAGTGACTTTTTTGCTCATTTAACCACTTGACTTACCATGATAAGATCAAGGTACCACTAATTGTTGCTGTATGGAAGCTGGATAAGTATCCTTTCCTTTGCTGTACACATGCCTATGCCCCTTGACAATGAATTGTTTCCCTTCATAGTTATAAAATGGCTCTAAATTGTATCACAAATGAATTGTAAATTAAATAAAAGCTCATCAGAAGGAGCAAATCCATATAGACAGGGCTTATGACTGGACTTAGCTAAAGATAGGGCACAACAGAAGATCAAGATCCATATAGGTGATACCCACTAGTTGGGAATAGATTTTATACTTCTTAGAAATTTTTTAATATTGTTATTATTATTGCTGCTATTATTATATATAAAAAAAATAATTCGCTTTCACTTTTATTTTATTTTGGTATGACGATGATATGAGTTGAGCTTAAAGAAAGAAGTGAAGATTCATATAGCTGACCTCAACTTGTTTGGGACTGATGCAATAGTTGTTGTATAATGAGTAAATCCTGAACATATGAAGGTTTGGTGCACATTAAAAAATGGTGCACACATTAGGAGGCAAATTGATAAAAAATAAAGGATACGGTGCAACTCAAAATGATTCACTAGGGGTGCAAAATGTAAAGAACTCACATTTGCCAAGACTCAAAGATTATATCTTGTAATTTTTATATTATTGCTTCATATGCATTTTACAACTGTTTGCTTCTATAAAAGAGTTTGAACTCACAGTTTGAGCTTTGTGCATTGCCTTTGCGTAACCATGCGGAATCCTAGCCTTGATATTGATACTAAAATTGTAACTTTGTTGAGCTGTTGAACTTAAAATTAGGATACACAACATACATATAGCATCTACGTACATACTCAGTGCACACACATACAGAGCAAGTTCACATATGTAAGCACTTGCTCGAGGAATTTCTCATGCGTGAGCAAACAGGAATCTATTCCCTTGTATTCGTAGGAAATCAAAGGACTTTACATGAAAGCATGGTGTCCTTTCGATTGTGCAATTAACCCTCCTTAGCATTGAGCAAATTATCCAAGAATTGATTGTGTTCATTAATTCGTCAATGTAGGAGGTTCACGTTATACTTATATGCTTCTAGTCATGTGAGGAACTGTTTATGATGGCAAATAGAGTTGCTTGTGCATTGATATTTTCTTAGTACTGTTTAACATTAAACAGAGTTTTACCATTTTATGATCTTTCTCTCTGGTAGTAACTAGTAAGTTCGAATTAATATTCATTAATTCCAGATAATAACTTTGTGGATGCATTCCTTTTCAGAAAAAATGGTTCTGCTGTATGCATTCTGCTGCTGCGGAATCATGAACTCTCTATGCTCCTATCCATCACATTGGGGAGTGTTTGATCTGAAATGTAAAGTGTTCCTCAAGTCTGGAGCTGTAGTCAAGCCTGGAATTTGTTCTGTTGTGTTTTAGAATTTACTCGAATTTCGTCATTGAAAGATATTCTGCTATCTATTTATTTATTTTTTGATCTTGATGTTATTATTGTTGCTTTTAGTCTTTTATCTTCCCATTTTCTTTCCAATGCTAGGTTTTGGGATTGGTTATTGTTTGCCATGTTTTCTTTTCGTATGCCCATATGTTAGCTTGCTATTACCAACTTCGTAAAAGAGGGGTTAAGGGATTTGAATGGCTCCGCCAATATCCAAGGTTTTATTCAAGGTAACAAGCTTAATTGCAGAAGCTTGACGAGTGCAAATTTCTAGAGCCGAGGGTCTATCGGAAACAACCCTTCTATCTCCCCATTCTCAGACCCCACTTGTGGGACTCTACTGTTGTTGACGAGTGCAAATATCCTCTACTTTGGGAGACAAGCCCGTTTGAGTTTGGTTACCATCAATGAGATTCAATGCATAGATTATACATTGATTAAATACAGTTTATATATATATATATATCCGCGGGCTATTTTTTGTTTAACATATTAGGTGGGCGGCTATTTGGGTTAATTCTTCGATATATAATAGAAGTTTGGACAATAATTAGTTGAAGTTAGAAAAATAAGGTTGTTTTGAGTTGAAATTGAAAGAATATGAAAGTCGAATTTGTGTGGATGTAAATTGGTGAATTTGCATCTATACCCGTTTTTTGTGCCACATTTTAACTTGTGCCCGCTTTACAAAAAAAATACAAGCGTACTCGCTTTTTCACATAATTTCTTTTGTACTGGAAAACTTCAGCTGAAGTTTTTGTCTTTGTAACCGAAAAACTTAAGCAGTTTCCAGCTTAAGTTTTCCAGTTATACAATAAAAACTTAAGCTCTAGAGCTTAAGTTTTCCAGCTATAAAATAGAAACTTAAGCAGTTTCCAGCTTAAGTTTTCCAGTTATAAAATAAAAACTTAAGCAGTTTCCAGCTTAAGTTTTCCAGTTATAAAATAAAAACTTAAGCAGTTTCCAGCTGAAGTTCTTATTTTCGAGACCCTTTGCTTGAACTTGGGCTACCTCGACATCAACCTTGTAAACAGCCACAATCTCCTCGGCATCAGCCTTGACCACCTTGGCCTCCAACCTGGCCACCTCAAGCTCCTTGGCTAGATTTTCTCGATAGGAGACGGCCGAATTCAGCTACGACTGAAGTTCCTCAATCTTTTTGGCCTGCACCGAAGCCTTTTCCTTTACATTTCGGAGCTGGAACTCAGCTGAAGGTACTGTGCCTAGGCAGACTCTTTTCCGAGGCCAAGTGATCNAGAGCTGAAGTTTCTATGTTATAAAATAAAAACTTCAGCTCTAGAGCTGAAGTTTGCCAGTTATAAAATAAAAACTTCAGCTAGAGCTGAAGTTTCCTAGTTATAAAGGGAAGCTGAAGTTTTTTAAAAAGTGGGTACGGATGCAAATAAAAAGACAAAGCGGCTACAGGTTAAAGAGGGGCGCCCTGTGCAATTTTTACATGTAAATTTCACTTGGCAAAAAGAAAAGTTAAAATTTTTGTGAGTGAAAATTATTATTTCTCTTGAAATACTGTTCAAACTTGTTTTTTTAGTATTTCATCAGCATTTCTAACAAAGTTCAATTCAACATTAACAATACTAATGGCTCAATTTCAATTTGCAAATAATGACTTAAATATTTGCAAGGTAAGTCATGACCGAACCCAGAGATTTTGAGAATTAGGTTTAGGTTATTTTATCTAATTTGATCGAAGTATTTTTATTAAGTTAAAAAATATATGTTTTTGAATCCTTTTTCTTTTGGATAGGGCTCAATGAAGAGTACTCGTCTTTATTTAACCATCTTCTTGTGATTTAACGACTAATGAAAAATTTGGCTATCTTGCATGCCAGCTTGGAAAAATAGAATACTAAAAGGAAAAGAAAGAAATTGCGTGACCTAAAATATATTGACATGAATGTTGTGAAAGAAAAGTTAAAAGTATGGTAGGATATTAATGTTAAAATATGTATACTGCGATTTTTTTGTAAATAATATGACTAAAACGCAGAGTCGAACTTTTTGATATTTTCATTTTCTTGAATCTTTATACATTAGATATACTTTTGTATTTTCTGCTGTTTTACTAGTACATTAAACGTAAAACAAAATTGTCCTCAGTAATTACTTGTAAAAGCTTTATCTTTTCAAATAATGCGTGGTGGAAATGGGATCACCGGTATTGAACCTAAATCTATTATGCAATTATTAGGCTATTGTGATTCCAGCTGAAATACTATGATATTTTTCATTTAGAAATCACCTAATTTGGTGGAGGGTAAGACTTTAAGCCTTACACGTTGTTGGAAATGAACGAAATAAATATACACAATGAGGAAGAAGACATATATTTTAATCCTCCTAATATGAGAGTACTTAGAATGGACATTCTCACTCTTTCACATTTAATATATGACAAAGAAAGAATGAGTATACTCAATTTTTACGTAATTAAAGGATGCATTACCATTCAAATTGTATTATCTTGGAAGTTGGAACTCCATTATTTCCAAATCTATCACTTCAAATTCACACTTAACAAAATATGGAGAAAAACCAACCCGAAGGTGGTGACTTGTGGTCAAAGAGCTGATATTACATCTTCTGGACTAAAGCTCGGATACAATAGGCACAATAGAAAAAAGGAGCCCGGTGAACTAAGCTCCCGCTATTCACGGGGTCCGAGAAAGGACCGGACCACAAGGGTCTATTGTACGCAGCTTAACCTGAATACAATACGCACTTCGAGATTAAATAATTTCTTCTTATTTAACTAAGTCTTGGTTGACTGAAAAATTCAATGTTTGTGTTGGTGTGAGCCTGGGAGATAGCAAGTACATTACGAAAATAATTGAGGTGTCGCAACAGATTTGAGCTATATATAGTGACAATTTTAAGATTTTTTTTTCACTATCCATGAGTTATAACCTTTTGTTTTCTATCAATATTGAAATAAAGCGGCAAAAGAAAACTAGCTAGAAATCAAGCAAGGTAATGAAATCCCAACAACATCTCCTGCAATAATACAAGAAAGCACAAGTGCATGTCATTCAAAATAAGGCTATTGACTAAAGGATAAATTGGCTAAACCATCAGCAACCGAAGTAGCCTCCTTATAGATACAAGCAATAGAGACCATCTAGTTCCTAACCAAGAGATAACAAATGTGATTGACTACATCACTATTCCGGTAACGCACAGACCTTCCAGGTCGCAAGACATGAATCACACTAGAATTATCAATTTGCAAGGCAACCCGACACCACCCTCTGTCCCAAACTTCTTGAAGACCAGTCAGAACTCCCCATAGCTCAGCACTAAAGGATGTACACACCCCAATCTCAACTCAAAATTCACCAAGCCACATACCATCAAATACTGCTAACAATCCCTATTTATGTAAGAATTTTGCCTTTACTAAGTAAGATGAAGTTCGTGGCAATATCTCTCTAAATTTGTAAGAATTTTACCTTTACTAAATAACTAAATGAAAATTCGAATTGTTTCAAATTGACACCAGCCCCAAATATAACTGTTTGCTCAAAAGTTATTACAAAACTTACGAGTATAAAACAATATAAGTAAATCACGGGATAATCATAGCAAATCGTAATAATCCGTTGGACCCAATGAAAGAAACGAAAATAAGTACTCAGGAATAAGGGTAGAAGCATAAGAAACCTTTATTGATAATATTTGTTTGGTCTGCCTCTCCATGGAGAGGTTCAGAACCTTACAATGGTGTTTTCTTTTCCCATAAGAGGGGTATATTTTCTCGATTCTCTCTCCTCTCACTAGTGGTGAAGAAGCAGCCCCCCTCTCTGTGGGGTTTCCTCTCTTGGTATTTATAGCTGTGAGCTTCGTGAGCTGGCAATAAGTGGTCGTGACCACGTTGGGGTTTCGCCTTCATGGTGGCGGATGGGCCGTGGCCTTGTTGATCGAATCAGATGAGGGTTGAATATAATTAATTCTGAGTGGTCGTGCCACTAATTAATCATGAACTAACTTAAAACGGGATTAGCCTCGTTAATTATCGTGGGGTCGGATTCTGACTCATACAGTTAGTCCCTCCGCTTATTGAGGTCGTGTTTCGGCCGAGCTCGATGAGCGGACTTCATCGATTGTGATTTGAAAACAACTCGTATAAGGGGGTCGACTTATTGGCGGCGGTGGCTTTAGCCGTTTACACGTTGGAGATGGCCGTAGCCTTTCGTACATTGGAGAGCCTTTCATACATTAGAGATGGCCGTAGCCTTTCATATATTGAGGATGGCCGTAGCCTTTCACATATTAGAGATGGCCGTAGCCTTTCATATATTGAGGATGGCCGTAGCCTTTTATATATTGGAGACGGCCGTAGCCTTTCATATATTGAGGATGGCTGTAGCCTTTCACATATTAGAGATGGCCGTAACCTATCATATATTGAGGATGGCCGTAGCCTTTCACATATTAGAGATAGCCGTAGCCTTTCATATATTGAGGATGGCCGTAGCCTTTTATATATTGGAGACGACCGTAGCCTTTCATATATTGAGGATGGTCGTAGCCTTTCACATATTAGAGATGGCCGTAGCCTTTCATATATTGAGGATGGCCGTAGGGAATGAGTATGCGCCGGGTAAGTATTCGGTCAAGTCCAAAATTTTAACGGCGTACGGCACATTCTTTCAGCGTTCACAGGTCGTAGCGATCATTCCGACGATGGTATGTTGGCGGATGGCTGAGAAGCCGCTTTGCGGAGCTCGTCATAATGACGCTTGCTTCGGCAGAACCGAATCGTTTTACGGTTGGTCGTGCAGTTAATGATGGCTATTGGGTTTCGCGAAAGCCATTTATGTTGCCTATAAAGGTGGGTTGAGGCATTCATTTCTCATATCTTCTTTGTTCATCTGAGAGAGAGATTCTGAGGAAACTTTTTCGTTTCGCTAATTCATCTTCTCTTTTCTTTCCTTTGATTGTGATAACATTTGTCTTCAGTAGATCAACAATGGCAGGCAGTTCTTCCCACGGTGCTCTTCCGGTAGATTTTTCGGTAGTCGGAGGGCCATCTCCGGCGATGGGAGGTGCAGAACAGATGGAGTCCGG